CTAAATTTTAATTTGCTAAAAGCTTTTGGTTTGGAAGAAACGAGGAGAACACTTTGAACGCCAAAAACAACTACAAAAAATTAACTTTTCTAACTATATGATCTTTTTTTTAAATTCAAAATTCAGTTTTACAGCAGGGTTGCTCCGTTTTAGACGTTTTAAAGTGAAAGACCCTCAGAAACTCTCCACTAAAGCTCTCCAAAGTACTCGCCAAGATCATGGAAAAACTTGGTATGTACTGCTTCAAGAAAATTGCACGGGCAAACTAAATGCATTTTCCTTTAGATATTTCTGAGAATCTTGTCTACATGATTATATGGAAAAAAAAACCCTTCGAAAGTAGATGTGCACTCAAGATTTACGGCATTTCCGTTTGCTGTCCGCGATTTCAACTGTCACTTGATAGTTTTTGCCAAGTTTAAGCATTCTAAACACTGTAAACAACGACTCCATGGCGATTTTAATTCAAGCTGAGACAACTTAAACAAATATTGTTAAAGAGAAAATTGTGTATTGCGAGTAAACAAAATAGCTGGACGACGTTTGAATCAGTATACACGACACACGGCTCGATGTTGTTGTCTTTCGAATTCTCCGCCTTCAGACGTGATGTGGTCTGGTAATGTTATTAAAGAATTGAAAGTTAAACCCTCACAATGAAAATAAACTCCACCTGTTAAAATCCTACAACTGAATTTATTTTCAAAATAAGAAAGTTCCGCAAGTAAAGCTGCTTTCTAGGCTTGCTAACTTTAAAAGATTTCCTTACAGACTATCATGAAGAATTCTTCATTGGAATGTTATTGCTTATAAATTGTTTTCGCGTTCTCTAAATATCCCAAGTGGTTTATATACGACGTCAAAGCAATGCTTAGCTATCCCTGGGCAAAGCACGCGAGATTTGCGCTTTTAATCGTTGCAGGGTTATAGCAGTTAAAATCATCTCTTTGTGCTTTATTATCTCACTGGTTTCGTATATACTACGGGTACGTTTCGGCGGTAGGGTAAGGCGAAAACCAAAACTAAACATGTTCTAGCTCGGCAAATCATTGAAGGTTGGGCAAACCACGATCCTTTGTCACCCTCAAGACCATATCTTCTTTATTTTCAGACAGGTTTTGTGCCTTTCTGTCCTGGATTTGCATTGGATTTTATCCAAGGCATTTGTTTCACTAGTCAACTTCAATTTGTTGGGGAAAATCGCCAATGCAAAATCGTTCACAACAGAATTCAGAAGAAAGTTTTTGTTCAAAAAAACATTTAAAAGTGGTGTTTAGTAAGTTACACCAATTAAGAAAGGTTAAGAAACACACAAAATGCTTGCAAACAGACTATTAGCGTCAATAAAGCGATGCTTACTTTTTAGTCTGCGATAAGAAAACGAGCTATACGTATACTGTAGAACAAAATGACTTAGGGTTTTTTTTTTATTCAAAGCACTGAAAACAACTGAACACTTTAAAATTCCTTTCTACTCCCTCTGTATCCTCCACTCACCCATTGCTATAATACAAAAGGCTTTATCATTCGAACTGATATGAAGTGTAGACCACTAAATGAGCCAGGCGACTTTTATTTGTTTTAGGGTGGGGGGTAGGGTCGTTAATTAAAAGATATCAAAGGAAGTTTGAAAGGGAAAGATATTAAACTGTTGATTAAGAATGTGTGGAATAGACAGACGTTGGCAGAGAAGTGTGAGGACAATTTTCTTGTGTTATGACTGGCTGATGTGCGGCACTGTCTGGGTTTCCATACGGGAAATTTGGTTTTTAAACATGCCTAGAGGTGGCCTTTTCGAACGGTGCCACATAGCTGCAATGATATCGGTGTACAAATGTATGTACTGGTTTCCGCAGCGGTTTAACAATTCATTGGCGGTGTGACGGTAGCGACGTGATTCATAATTTCGTTCGTCGCTACATACGTGCATTGCATGAGGCTACAAAGTTTGTCGGATGTGATATATTATTACGACCCTTATAAAACCACTACCACAATGATAACGAGACTTATGAAAATCATAATTCCCCGCGATGGAGTTAGACAGGAGTACCGAATGTTACATTTAGCTTTTCGTATATACTACAAGTACGTTTCGGTAGTAGGGTATGGCTAAAACCAAGTGGGAAAAACACATTCTAGCTTCGCAAATCATTGAAGGTTAGGTGAACCACGACACTGTCACGCTCAGGACTGCATATCATTTATTATCAGACAAGTTTTGTGCCTTTTCGGTCCTGGATTTGCTTTGGGTTTTAACCGAGGGTTTTGTTTCCTTTTTTCGAGTTTCATGTTTAGGTTTGTTTAAGTTATAAACTTAAGTTCGTGGAAATAAACACCGAAGTAAATTAGTTCACAACGGGATTAGAGAAAGTTTTCGTTTGAGGTCACTTTCATACTCTGTTTTATGTCACATCGTTCACTTTTCTTTCCATTTCGAATTCTTGGGTAACCATTTTAAATTTCGTGACCACACAACTGAAAAGCGGTGTTAATTGCA